GTGTGTGTGTGTGTGTGTGTGTGTGTGTGTGTGTGTGTGTGTGTGTGCACTGATAGAATGCGCTTACATAAGAAAATGTGTGTTGGGAGAAGGAGAATGGCACTCTCTACTGTGCATCTTTAGTTTGCTTTAATGGACTTCCTTCAGCACACCACATGAATAAATCACAGCTTGTGAGTGCTGCTGAAGTCCAGCCGTCTATTGTTAGTACGACAGTAAAGGAAAGGAAGCTATAGATACGATATAGAAGCCTTTCAGCTCACAGCTATGAGCTGTCGGCAAGCTTTCACTAGACGTCCACGTGACTACAAAGGGAGACAGCCGAAGGCCCTTAATGAGTGAAACAATGGGAATTCTTTTGCGATGCCGACTACAGTCTTCATACTTGATTTCAGAAACTCTCCGGGAGCCACAAAGCGTTGGTGGAGATGCAGGACGACGTGTCTGAACTCCTGCGCTCTGCCACCAGAGAGTACAAACAGACTCAGGTATGTTTCTGGCCCCGTCACTACACTCTTTACCAGACATGGCACATTCACAGTGTACCCCCACACACACACACACACACACACACACACACACACACACACACACACACACACACACACACATCCCCCACCAGGCCACAAGCTGTCCCGTACTATTGTACTGTTTGTGACTCTCAGTGAATGAGACCAAACGACTGAGCTGCAGAGGAGTGAAGTGCACCTGCCTCCACATAAAGATGTGCTGACGGCCCACCTGGGACCCGCATTATGTCCATTTAGCCGCTTTAGGCTTTCACCGGCCCTCGTCAATACAACACTGTCGTATTGTCCCAGCGCCGGTCCTTGCGCTGCGTTGACAGAGGCACAAACGAGGGCTGACATCGGGAATAGAGAGGGGCATATTTCCACTTCACATGCCCACACATAGAAATGTGCTGAGGTTGTGGAAATGTTTCTATCTGGCTATCAGACGGGTTTTCCGCTGGAGGAAGAGTGTATTCAGATGTATCATACAGTCAAATCTGCTTGTTCAGCTGGAGCTGCTGTGTTCTGTTGTACGTTGATGAGAGACGCTGATAAAGAATTTGATTTACTCGTCACCTGCTTCCTTCTTTTTTTGCAAATGTTTGCGTCTTCTATTCTTGAATTTTTGTACCATTGACAGGCAGGAAACGAGCACTTAGTGACATTTTTATAATGCAGATAATGAGAATTACACTAGTTCCAAAGCTCTTTTTTGGGGGGGGGGGGGTTCTGGCATCCAAGCATGCCCGGATGCCAAAGTTGGACTTCAAGTTAAGCCTGTTTCCAAAGTGCTAATTGTGTGTTTGTTTGTTTTTAATTCCAGGGAAGTTTAGAAGAGATCCAGGGGATCCTGAACACCACGGAGATCAGTCTCCATCAGCTCACTGCCCTGGTGGACTGTCGCAGCCTGCACATGGTGAGCAGGGAGGGGGAAGACTTACAAACCGTTCTCATAGAGTCGCTCCACGTCGGATGATAAACGGGGGTCCTGCTGATTGATCAGCTGCGACGGCTTCGTAGTGCAGCTCGGTTGTATAAAAGCAACCTTTCTTTTCATGCGAGTGCAGCCGACTACACCTGTCACCACCAATAACGTTTGCCGTCCCGTGTGCGGCTTTGTGCCGTTTCTGAAGCGGGCTGAACGACAAGTCCTTTGCTTCTTGCAATGCTGAGGAGGGTCGTCCCTCAGTGGCTTCCAAACTCCAACGGCACACGTGCTTTCTGCTTCCTGCTTCCCGCCGTCTCTCCTGAACATCCCCCCCGAGCGAGCTTATTACTTGATGAAAATCGGGGCGTCTCCGGCAGAATACGGACTGTGTTTCTGCTGTGCCGTGCACACAGAATGGAGATTCTCCACCGTGATACTGTTGGGTGTAGAGCTTCTTCTCAAACCGGGAGAAATGCGTGGCCTTCCATCTAGTTTGCCAACCATGAGCTCATTGGTGTGACCTAGTTTAAAGGAGAAATCACAGCAGATGCATTGTAAAGATTCTTGGAAAACTCTAGTCCTTTTTTTACTACTTCTGCATTTTTGTTTTGCTTTCTTTCCTTCTCGTGTTTCTCAAATGTCCTGCTGTTTTTAATGACCCTGAACTAATCACACATGCCATAATGACCGAGCTGTCTCTCCTTGCTGCAGGACTTTGTCCAGGCCATGACGGGGCTGTGTTACGACGGACTCGAGGGCCTCATCTACCTCGTGCTCTTCTCCTTCATCACGGCTCTCATGTTCAGCTCCATTGTTTGCAGCGTGCCTCACACCTGGCACAGCAAGAGGTGAGACGTCCACCGGCCACACACTCGCCCTTCAACTCCCCACCGCATAAAAAAAAAAAAAAAAGGCTTTTAAGCAGAGTTTGTGTGCGGGACTGCGTATACAGTGAGAAATAATTTAAGAACATAAGCCTATCAATAAATGATGCTTTCATGGCATTCCTCCTATTCCTCTTCAGCACTCGCGCAGCATGAGAATGACGCAGACCAAGTAATTTGGGATAAATAAGGCTGTTTTTATCACCGGGACTCGTCCAGAAGGCTCCAGCTGCTTCCTCAAATACATCGCTTCCCGTTACCCCCCCCCCCCCTAATTGTGCCGAGTTGGCCTAAATCTATCGTAACCACCGCCTGGCCCGGTGGTTCTTTCTGCAGCAGATGGGTTAAAATCATCCTGATTGTCTTCGTCCCGTCAGCAGCAGATAAGGAAAGTGGTCTCCCAGACGCGGCCATCGGCTCAGCTGCACCGCGTAATTAACTGATCTCTGCTAACAATTGGGAGCCATGTTCATCAGTTTGATCTCAGCTGGTGCTTCCTGTTATAAAACAAAGCTGACACGCTACCAGTCTGTTGTCTCAGTGGTCCTAAGCTTGTTCAGTGTTACTGTTTAATTCATTTTACTCTTCTGGAATTATATGAAGACTAATAATTATTATGCTGCGTTAGTTTACCTAGTGTAGGATTATTAATATTATTAAGAGCTGATCAGTTAGTAAGACGCTGTTTTCTCTGATATGCACACTCAGGTGAATATGTTTTGTACATTCATTGCACTGAATGAATCTGTGGATTGATGGATTATCTCTGCTTTAAGAAGCCTGAGGGGTGACCACTAGAGGGAGACAGGCTCCATGTTGCTCTGTTTTGACCATGTTCAGTGCATTGTTGTTGTATCTCACATATTGGGCCTCCTTGTTTGAAAAGAATCCAGTGGACTCACATTCTCTCTGCGTGAGAAAGCTCCTGCTTTCTGTGTGACAACGTGAACCGATGCATTTATTGTCCTGACGCTAAATTAGGGCTTTTAATTTTCCTGCAAAAAAAAAAACCCCTGATCCAATTACACGAGGCTATTTTTACCGCCTTTGTTCAGTCCCATTAAGGTCAGCGGGAAAGACTGCGTCGTCTTTGCTTCACGCAGCAGAGGATTCATCTGGTTCTCTCCCCCCTCAGGCAGCGCTGAGCGTGAATCAAAGCGGGACCACTGGCTTCTTCCTGCTCCTTTGTTATCAGTCAGACGGGACAGGGGGTCCCTCTGCTGGTGGTGGTGGTTTTCACTGCAGTGCTGTGTGATGTTTTGCAGGAACGAGGAGGACAGGGAGGACGAGTCCCTGAGCCACGGGGGGAGGCAGAACCATGACAACCTGTACCGGGTCCACATGCCCAGCCTGTACAGCTGCGGCAGCAGCTACGGCAGCGAGACCTCCATCCCCGCCGCCGCCCACACCGTCAGCAACGCACCCGTCACCGAGTACATGTAAGTCACCGCTTCATGCGATAGTGAAAGGCAGAAGGCCCGGTGTCACGGTTGTGTGGCTGATATTCGATACTCGATGTACTCATGAGCCAGTTTGTCCCCAGAGAGGAGCTAAGCTCTCCTATAGAAAGCCATGCAGTGGGCAGCAGATGCAGCTGTTGCTCTCCAGCTGTGGAGCCTCATGAGTCAAGCTCATGTGTTGGGGAAGCTGGGGGAGGGGATCCGTTCTCTGTGCTCTGCGTTCTTAGGGCCTCGGTATGCTGAAAGCTGACATGGAGAGTTCCTTGTGTGCGGTGTATAGTTTCATAATCTCTAGAGCGCTGTGTCGGGGTTTATGCACCTCTCAGCTTGTTGTGTTTGATCTCAATGTGTGTTTTGATTTCAACAGGGCTCAGAACGCCAACTTTCAGAACTCTCGCTGTGAGAACACGCCTCTGATAGGACGAGAGTCTCCGCCGCCCTCGGTAAGTGTCGTGTCCTGTAACGAAAACACAAAAAAACACACGAGAGCTGTAGGAACACCTCTGGGTCTCTGGTAAGAGAGCGACCATCCGCCCCCTATTCTACTAATGATCCAGAAACTAACATCAGGACTAAACTAGGAACTTTGCACGTTCCTGTTTGCGTTTCCAACACATCTGAAGAACCGTGACGGTGAGGCAAATTAGACCAATAAAGAATTAAAAAACAATGGCGGTGTTTGAAACACAGTTATCATAAAGAGTCGTCCTTCTGTGAGTGTTTGTCTCCACAGTAATCTGTGTTTCATGCTCATTTCAAACCATCAGCTCGTGTTTTTTTATCGCTGACTTTGTTTCCTCATCGTCGCTTCCTCTCTCTCGTTCACACACACACACACACACACACACACACACACACACACACACACACTAACTTTGTTTTTAAGTTAAATGAATATCAAGAGAAGTATTAATACCAGTAACACGCAGTACTTGTTTTGTGAGCACAACTTGAAGCAGCCGCGGTGTCTGTTTGACCAATCAGCGACAGTCAGCCCTAATAATGCCTGAACCATCGCAACGTACCGCTCCTCCATCCTGCTAAACACAGTCTCAGAGACACAGCGAGTCTCGTCCAGCTCTGTACTCGACCCTTTTTCATGGATAGGGAGGCGAAACTAAAATGAATTTCCCTTCATGCATCAGTATGTGATGGGAAGTGTCACACCTGACATTATATGTATCTTAGATAGCCGTGTTTGTTTCTTGTCTTTTATTTGATACAAGTTGGAAAGAAAATAGAGAATCCTGCACACATGCTCCGTCATTTGTACTCGTTTAATGTCCTCAGACCTTCACCGGGCACATGATAGACAAACAACAGCGTTCATATGTAGACAACAGGCTTGAGTTTCTATTTGAAGAGCTCAGTTACATTCTTACAGTTTATGTTTACGGCCTTTATACGTACGTATGGTGCAACTTGACTGAAACGTCATCTTAATAAAATAAGTGAAGGACAGCCTGGAGCTGGAGCTGCTTTGTGTATCTTCTCTATATTCTCTTCTTGTCGTTCTTTTTTTTTTTTGTTTGTTTTTTTTTGTTTTCCTGCGTATCCATCCAGTTGTATTTGACTGCCGCGGACAGTAACAGCGGTCACAGCTGGCAGTTAAAGCCGTCGGAGAGTTCAAGATCGTTTTGGTAACCTCGTCTGCTAACAGGTACTAAACATGCCCGCCTCCTCCACCTGCTGGCCTGCTCCTCCTCTGTGCCACCTCCCACACTCCCAGCTCCACTCACCCTCTATTCAGGTCCCTCCCTCCCCTGTGTCCTGACTCTTGCTAAGTGTCCCACCTGCTGTCTCACCTGACGTTTTGTTTCCTGTGGCCCTGGGCTGCATGTTTTGGAGACCACCTTAGGCTGTGGGAAATAAACACACCGACATATTATCGGCAGAACAGAAATGAATGATGATGAAACAATCTTTAATCACAGCTCTACATATTTTTCTTCAACATGCGAGGTGAGTCTTGAGCCCATGTTGGTGCACATCCTCAGCAGGCTGTCCAAGAGGCTCTGCAGCCCGATCGCAACATAAGAAAAATATATTACAACTAAAAAAGCAACAAAGTCAACTTCGTGTTTCCACTTGAGTTTGAAATGCAGCCTTTTCATGCTTGTATCGCCTGTATTTAAAAAAAAAAAAAAAAAAAAATGCATGGGTGCATCCTAAATGTTTATGAATGTGCACGAAGGTCAAAAGCAAAAAGTGAAATGATTGAAAGTAGAGTTAATGTTCTGTATTTACACAACTCCTCGTACTCTGATGTGGTCGTCCTCTGTAGCCGTCGCTGTGATGTTCTCTCTGTAAATGAGTCACTTCCCTTTAGAGTCCAGCAGTGTGGAAGGTAATCTGTGTCTCTGGTCTGTGGGATGACTTTGATAAGGCATATCAGTGCATCTGTGTTCCTCCACTGCTGCTTTTTGATGTGTTATTTACCTGAAGGGTTTCTTCTCACTCAGCAAAGCACTGAGGCTCTGAGTCTGTTTGGCACAGATCCATTTTACCTACATGGTTTTAAGGAGTGATTTTATCCTTATTTTGTCCTACTTATTTTAACCATAAAGAGTGAAAGCGTTCGTCATGTTTGGTTCTCTTCTTTGTTTGAACCCAGTACACCTCCAGCATGCGGGCCAAGTATCTGGCCACCGGCCGACCAGAGCCCACCAACCCTCCTCCAGCTCACCAGACCCCGCTGGACTCCTCCCGTCCGCAGCACTGACGTCTCTGAAGCCTCTCACCCAGTCAGTCTTCTTCTGTCTCACACCTCTCTCGGTCACTCCTCTACCATCTCACGTGACTTCAAACGGAAAAACCAAAATGTGCGGGGTTTTTTTTTTGCTGTTCAGTTGAAGCAAAACTTGATGAATCTCGCGCATCATAGTGCTCATACTTTCTCCACAATCCTTGGCTGATGTTTACTATTACGGGACTCGATGAATTCATCTGCAGCTCTGATGTGACGGAGCCTGAACCGACTTTTTAACTTGTTATTTCTTTACACGTGAACGCACCGCGACACATCTAACAAGGCATTGCAGTGGACTCTGGAAGTGCTCGTAGACTAACACCGACTACTACTGGTTGTTGATTTTGTTCTGTACTGCACGCTCTCCTTGCTGTGGGAGGGGAAAGCCTCACACATGAATGTGGGAGGAATCCACTGTTGTAGACGTTGTTTCTCACTCAGCGTAGATTAGACTCCTTTCACAGCGCTCGAGGAATTTAAAATGCAGCTCTATGTTTGAATCTCTCTCCAGTTAAAGTTACCGTACTGTATATTACACACACACACACACACGGGCTTGTATTTGTGTTAAATCCGACGTCTGGGACCAGTTTTCCTGCAGCACGTCTTGCAGGTATGAAATAGTTCTTTTCACATATACATTGATGAGCCACTGTTCTACAGTAAAAGACTGTAACTTGTGAAGCTGTGAACTGTATTGTGGCACATGCTCCCAGAGGACAAAGAAGAGCTGCATGATGGAAATGCAGCAGTTTGGCAAGAAGAGTCTCAGCAGGATGACGACGTTCAACCAAGACGAGAGGTTTTTATACTACTGGAAGAACTTTTAATTATTTTTACAGCCCTTTGTAGACGACGGTGACGCAGAGGCAGAGTTGAGCGTGACGTCTTCTGCAACATTACTCCAGACTTTTTAAGGATAAGTTGCCTCTTCACCAGACTGCTTGTTATTCTCTCCATGTTCCTGTTGGGTTGTAAAGCCTCGTCTCCCTCAACAGAACTGGGAATTGTCCCCCCCCCCACACACACACACACACACACTTGATCTTTGCCACCAACTGCAGCAGCTTAGAGTCAGAACCTCGTCTCACGACAATCTTAATCCAGGTTTATGCGACAGTTTGCATATGGAGAGATAATCTTAATGCATTGGCAATGCAGCGTCTCACAAATGTGTTTTAGCATTTCTAACTACGTAGGTGAGAGCGCGGATGCTGTGAAGGGATTGAGAGAACTCTGCTCTCTCTCTCTCTACAATCTGGAAACCTGCTGAAATCTGGAAACCTTCCTGTTGAAACGTGACGCGAGATGTTTGTACTCCTGCTTGCTTCTCTTAGATGTGCATTGTGACCAGTACAAGAGGTGACTCTGTGCCAACAAGTGCAGCACAACTCTTCTACTCTCTGAATATCTTCTTAAATGTCTTAACTTGAGGCCACTTTGTAACGTTGACCACTCCTGGTTGCTCGTGTAATCAAATGAGACTTTTTTCCAAATCATTTATGCTCTTTAAACATTATTACACCGACGCAGTCTGTGTTTTTGGGGTAGTGGTCATATTCTCTTTGTTGTTTGTACAGATTATAAACATTTACAAATGAAGGAGAAAATAATTTCATTTTCAATTTCTTAAAAAACTTATTCCACATTTTTAAATATTGTTTTTATTTGATTTGCTTTTAGTTTTATGATTTGCTTTTAGACTCTCTAGCAAGCACAATGTGTTGCTTCATTAATGTGAATACGGTCAATAGATTTGAATTTTGAGTTTTTTTCACTAGATGTCATTTTGTTATTTTTGTTTTATACATCCTTTTTATTGCAATCTCTGAAATGTGTTCATGTAAAACCTGTGGTTATATTGAGCTTGAATGCTGTGTTTTAAAATTAAACAACCTTTTAACTGTAGAGACCTGCTCGTTGCATCATTGGATGTAAAAGCTGAAGCAGACACCAGGGGGCAGCACTGCTCTGATCTCACCACGTTCACTAGCTAGAACACAGAAGATGCGGTCTCTTTAAGAGGGAAATAATACAAAATATGAAATGTTAATAGCCAGGGATTCAATACAATTATACACATGAAAGATGTTTTCACTCATACCAACAAATAGTGACTTGTTTGTGTTAGATTTATACAGTTAATGCTTCCCGGAGGATTTTATTGTTGCATTTAGTGTGTTTTTAATCTGAAGTTTCTTAAATTACATTTTCTATTTCACAAGCGAGGCCTGACCGAAGTGGCTCTCTGAGACACTGAAGGTGATCTGGGGTCTGTAAGACGAAGCAAATGGAACTTATTCTGGCTCACTGGTGATCCTGGATAACCACGCAGATCCACTTACTATTGATATCAGAACCATGAGTGAGATGAAGAGGTGACGGCTGCGTGAACATTTGGTTAAAGCGACAGCAAGAAGTGATTCAGCGAGGCTAAATACAAACACTATCGACGGATACACAGAATATTGAACTACTTCTCAGTGCTGGTATTTCTCCTGGAGACTATATGTGTATGCTGCTATTTGGTTTCTGCAGTGCAGCGACGGGCCGCAAGCTGCATGCAGATCAGTCTGAGAGGAGCAGAAAGGCCGTGCAGTGTTCATGACCTCTCTGGGCCGACAGCAGGCGGGAGGTCAGTGTCGGCTCCACCAGTCTGGTTTATTCTACTTCCTTCATCCCGCCAGCCAGCTGCTGTCGCCCCAAACTCTGACGTCTCGTGTCTGAAGTCTGGATTATAGAGAGACGGAGGAAGTGGTCCTTCCTCTTACAGGCGTCACTTTAGTTATTTGCTCTACAAATCTTTCATTATTCGTACAAAATGTAACTACAAACAGACGACAAAATGATTAAAGCACACCCATTTCTCTGCAGTAACTACAATACTTTCCGCTAATCTTTCAAGGTATTTCCTGTCTGAAAAGATGAATATCGAGATTACATCTTCTCCTGGGTTCCCTGCTGTTTATTGTGGGGGCCGAGCTAAACAAAGCAGTAAACAAACAAAGCGTGAGGGAGGAGGGGGGGGGGGGGGGGGGGGTTTACACAGACACCCAGAGATGCAAATGAACAATTCACACGGTCTCACTGTCGAGGAAATTGAATTACCCGGCTTGTTGCTGGACTGGAGGAATGCATTACTAATGCTTTGAGGTGAGGAGCTGAATGGAGAGGGGGGGAGGAGGAGGGTGGGTGCCCCCCCCCCCCCCCCAGACTTCCTGAGACTGGCTGGGCTCTCTGCCAGGTGGTTGGACCACGGCTCTCCTTCTCCTCGATGCCAGGCAGCTGCAGGACGGCCAGGAGACACTCCAGATGCACGAGGCAAGACTTCCATTTAAAAAAAAACTCCTGTTTAAGCCGCCGGAAACACGAAAAACTAATTATGTATCAGAGCATAAACCTGTGGGTTTGTACGTAAATACAAATACATTTTCCAAAGCAGCATCCCATGAATATGTGTGTGTGTGTGTGTGTGTGTGTGTGTGTGGTCGCAAGACAAAAAGATTCAGATCCACTGGTTTAATCCTCAACAATAATGATAATCTTTCATATTTTTGTATGTAAAATCTCAATTTGAAAGGTAACTAATAAGCACTAGTGACTACAGACGCGTACATGTAATGAAGTCAGAAGTACCTCGTCTCTCCTGCCTTTCACTGCTCATAATGTTCACTTTCTGCTCCCGTTTCTCGACATGATCGCCGTGTCATCGCAGGACGGATGAGGCTCCGGAACACTGAATGCAAACACAGGACGTTCGTGTCCCGCTTGTGGAGGGAGTCCTGCTGCTTTGTTGCTGCCATGCTTATGCGAGGGAGAGGGAGAGGGAGTCGGGGGGGGGGGGGGACGGCGTGCCTGGTTTGTCTCCTTTGTGGCCGGGCTCAGAGGGAGGCAGCTGTGTCCTGGGAGCCGCCGCTCAAGTTATTCACACCTCACCTCCTCCAGTCAGAGGGAGCACGTACATGAAGGATTTATGGAGCTGTCTGCTTATCCCCGTCCTCACCTTGATGCTTCAGGGCTTTCTCACAGCTCTTCCCTCTCCTTCCTGTTCTCTTAAAGTCATCGGTGTGAAGAATCTGTCTTGATCCCAGTGGTTCACCAGCACCTTTAAAAATGAACCACATGAGCGATTTAACCACATTATCTAAGCTAACTATGGTTACAATACAAAGGATAGAGTCGAGGCTTTTGCATTCAGATACAGTCTTAAGTATTTTCCGTATTCTTATGACAGTGATGAGTTATCTCTGACTGAGGTTGCACAACATCTGTCGTGAAACCTTCTTCACCTCTCCTTGATGTAACGATTCATTTTAAAAGGCATAACACAATACAAATAAAATACAAAACAGTGCAGACAATACCACACGGCTCTTACAACCTCATTTGCATCCGGATTTGCATTTCTGCAAAGCACCATGACTCACTTATTTTACTTTGATGCAAATGACCATCAAATAACACATTTTACAGACAATATAAACTGTAATTAATGTAGGGATATCATTAGATAATGTGTTATTTGTATGTAACAGTTTGACCTTTTCCTTTAAAAAAAAAAAAACCAGCAGGATGAGGAATATTACACAATGATTGAGTTAATAAAAGTGAAACTAATACACCTGACCTACGTATACAATAAATCACTGTTAATGCTTCTTAAACACTGTGCAAAGGTGTCGACATTAAAAATATAACCTAGCATTGGTTAGAATCATTAACATTTAACATGCATAAACAGTATATACTGTTTCATATTTGGCATTCATGGTGTTCTGGTAAAAGTCTTAATGTTTAAATCTTAAACACATTTTGTGCAGATCTTTGCAGGATGAAATGAATTTGGTTTAAAATAACACTTAATGTGAAAATCAATGGTTTCCTGTAATGCCTCTTCCAACTGAGAAAAAAAAAAAAGAAAGGTCTTCCTCCAAATTCCTCAAGTCCTTCACTCAAGTGCTGCTCATAAGGGAGTTCAAGTCCCTCTCCAGTCTCCAGCAGGGATACGTGATACCTGGATTATGGTAAACTCCCACTTTTAGAGCACATGTAGAGCAGGATTAAGGCCTGAGCCAGTTGCTGTGAGATGTCCCTGTGGGCCGGTGGGACGTGTCCCGCCGCTCCTAATCCTGCAGACAATGCTGCCTGTTAATTGGAGACTGACTGTTATAGCAGAGGGCAGTCATGAAGACAATGTGTGAGTGGCCAGCGTCTCTGTAATCCCCTGCACTGTGAGGAATGTCCCTCTGTGGCAGCCATCCACACTCCACCACATCCACCTCACACTCAGGGGTTTTCCCTTTTACTGACAGTTAAGAGTCGCTGTTTCGGGTTGTTTTTCTTCCGAGTCATAACAAACACAAAGAGAGCGACTTTGCAGAGTTGTGAAATTTCACATGTTGCACTGATGGGAGGTGCAAGAAAGCACACCCAGGTGTTTGTGTTGTAATCAGCAGGAGATGAACCGTTAACCTACTTAAGTGTTTCCTGTCAGTCCACCTTGAAGCAGGGCTGAAATGATGTCAGTGTGAAGCCTCGATATCTAGTGCATTAAAGGTGTGTCTATACTTTAATATGCAGAAAATATTAATAAATATCAATAGGCCACATTCTGACTTGTCACAGTAGGAACAGCACAGGACTGATGGTTGCTGCATTTAGCTGCCTGGCTTTAGGGTTGCTGGTGTTGTACATGCTGACTCAAACAGAGCCAGCGTTAGTGTTATTAGTAACGTCTGTGCTTTTCCTACCATGACACGTCAAAATGAGTGCTGTTTTTTGTGATTATTTTGTGTCTTTTAATGTCTCTTTTTAGTTATTTAGTTGGTGGTTTTACATTGCTTTTTAGTCATTTTGCATTTATTTGTAATCCTGCAATGTTTATTTATAGTCGTTTGGTGCATCTTTGTGGCCGTTTTGGGTCACTTCAATCATTTAATGCATCCCTTTTAGTAATTTTGCATTACTTTTTATTCATTTTGCCTCTTGTTTTGCATGACTTTGTGGTTATTTGATCGACTTTCCATCAACAAAAGTTACCAGTCACCTCATAGAGACTCTAGTCCAGGGGCCGCTGGCCTGGTGTCTGATAAGCCTGTAAAATCACCAGCATTTAAGATGTTTATTATTCATGATAGCAGCTTTGCAGTCATATCAATAAAAAACTACTTATATTAGCAGCTACAGTATCTTCAATATAACTCTGTTAAATTGAATGTTTTTCTGTGCTGCAGATATCTTGCTACTGGTGGCTCGTTTAGGACCATTGCAAACAGCTTCCGTGTTGGGGTCTCCACTGTCTCCAGTATTGTCCCAGATGTTGCCACAGCTATTTGGGACTGCCTTGTGGAGGAGTTTATGGCTGTGCCCACCACTAACCCTAACCCCTAACCCTAAACCCTAAACCCTAAACCCTAACCACCTAACCAAAGCTACCTTTAAAAGGCAAAACCCTTTTTATCATACGTCCCCAAACAAACCTAACCCTAACCCCTAACCCTATCCGTCGTCTTTATCTATCTATTCGTCGTCGCTATCGGATAGATCGTCGTACCGGCTTCCACACAGGTAGCCGGTACGACGATCTATCTGACGTCTTATCTATCTGGAGACATGTTGCGAATCCTTGTTTCCGTTTCACTTCGAGTGAACTGAAGGAGAAACCCACGGAAGCAGGAAATCATCCCAACATGGACGTCACGAGGCCAGGTGACAGCCGATTGCTTTTATCCTTCTGTATATTGAGTTTTCCACCGTACTTTTAAACTTTTTTCTTGGACTCTACTCGTAGTATGGCTATGTCACTGCAAACTATCATACTCGCAGTTAAGGGACGTCTTCCACCGCCTGGACGGTGTATCCATGGCGGCGGCCCAGTCGAAGCAGATGTCATTTATGCTATATTCCAG